CTATGAATTCTATAGAAAAAAAGTATGGGGGGCAGACAGCAACCCCCAGTTTATGGTATGAAGTTCAGAAGTTAATAATTAACTACCAGAGCTCGAAATTAAAAAAAAATCCAGGTTGTCCCTATTTCAAAAGTCGGGCAAGCAAAGCTGTGAATTTGGTTGCCCTGATGAATCCTTGGTTGCCTGGTAGAAGTGAAACGCGGAAGTCTGGCTTTAACTTGTGGCATATTCAAAATGGCGTCTTTGATCTTGATCGCCTCCAGACAAGAATCTTTGTGTTTGTCTCTTACATTTTCGTACCAGGAAATGTCTTATAAAATTTACAGATATCCAAAACATAGGAAAACGCTTAGCTGCGGCAAATTATTAACTTCATACTACCGGACATTGACAAAACAAAACCGTCACGTAGGTCAGGTGCGGTTTATGGTTAATTTATTTTCTATTTTTGGCTCGGTTGTCCGTTGTTTTTTCCCCAGACAACCAGCCTCCTAATTTTTCTAAAAATTGGTTGCCCGGTAAACCTTTTGGTCGTCTCGGACGACCGCTAATTTCGAGCACTGAACTACGGTTTAATAATTTCATCTCGATTTCAATTTCCTGAATAGATCTTTCTGAAGGGATGCTCTGAGCAAAATTTCATGTTTTCTATCAGATTGTTAAAGAGTTTTGTTTCTTTAAAGTTAGTCACTACAATTGCAAAAATCTGACTAGATGGCCCCCTTAAGATAATCCCCAACACAGGCCCAGTTTCGTTCAAAATGTTGAGGATTGTGTGATTATTCAAAGTTAAGAGCTAAGGGGAGTGAAAAGTATGCGAGGGTATCTCCCTATCGTCTGTGACTGCGCAACGAAAAATTTCTCTCAAAATTCCATCTTTATTCTTCAAATAAACAACAAGTCTGCCAGATTCACAGTTCAACAGTTTCAGAATAATCATTATTTCCAAGAGGATGACCATGTTTTCTACTTTTAAAATTTTTTTTACTCCATTCATCTAACAGAAACAGAAAAATACTTGGAACATGTTTGACGTCAGATGATATGGAGGGGTTTTACATGTTTCTTTTAACTTCACTATTTAGTAGTGTTCAAGTTAAAGGTTTGTTTCTATTTCATGAATAAAAACAAACTTGACAGTACTTGTTGATTGCTTTTTTTTCCACTTTTTTTCATTAAAATCAACAAAAAAGTTTCGGCTTTCACATTTGTTTAGTGCTAACTTAGGAAAGTAGACTTTGCGATGTTTTTGTTTCAGTCAGGATCGGTCATTGATTCTTTTTTTTTTTTGCTTTTTGCTTTTTTTTCTAAGACAAGAAAGTTTCAGCTTAGGTTTCAGATATGAAAGTAGATTTTCTGAAAACTTTTTTTTAAGAATTTTTTTTCCTTTTATCCTTTTTTTATGCGGTCATCAAGTGGTGTGATACTTCTTAGTTCCATCTTGCAACAGTTTTTTTGAAAAGAAAATGAAATCGTGGAGTATCTGGCCCATGTTCTTCTACTCTTAGTTCCTCCTTCGTCGTCGTCGTTTCCGTTTGTAGGGTTCAGTTTGTGCCCGTACTTCAGCCTGTAGAAAAAGTTGTCAAGTAAATATTCTCCTCGAACTCGA